CGGGAGCATTGAAGTTCATGAAAGTAGCAGACGGTCAATAGTAAACAATGACGGCTGGGCGAAACTACAAGACGACAAGCTTTTCTATCGAATAGATCATATTCTCGAGATATTAATAAGCCAATAAAAAATCGTTTTTTTTTCAATACCTACGTCCAAGAGATACGAAGTTATGACTGTCAACAGTGTCGTGAGAGCCGAGTCGCGAATGCGACGACTGTTTGTGTGGTGATATGAGATATTTCGTTTTGCCCTCGTTCCTTATCAGACCCATATCCTACGCTTTCTTATCCAGTATGGAGAAAGAAACTCACGGCGCGGTTGTTGGGGCCAATGATGTCAATATCATCGGCGTACACCTGCAGCTGTACACTCTTATAAAAGACTGTACCTTCTCTATTCAGCTCTGCTGCTCTTATTATTTTTTTCAGAAAAAAAGTTTAAAAAAAGTCATATGATAAGGAATCACCCTGCCCGAAACCTAGTTTGGAATCGAACGGCTCGGAGAGGTCCTTCCCGTTCCTGACGAAGCCTTTAGTGTTGCTTAACCCCAGTTTACATGACCGCATAAGCTTTGCGAGGATACCAAGTTCAGAAATAGCGGCTTTAAAATCGACCTAGAGGTGAGTTGTGTCGTTCCTGTTTTCATGGGTTTTTTCCAAGACTTGGCGCATGGTGCATAGCTGGTCAATTTGTTAACTATCTTTATGATAAATCTAAGTTTTTGTTCAAAGCAATAAATTATATGTGTTTTATTTCTTGGAAGGGTGACCGTAGTTAAGAATATTCTATGCTTGGTATTGATTCGAACCCATCACTCTCCTCTTGGTGGTACACGTTGCTAACCATTCAGCTACTGTGCCCACCTCTGCTGATCGGAGGGAGCGATCTACAGTTTATTCTGCTGTATATATAAAAATATTTATGTACATATGTATATTATACTATGTAAAAGTGCTCCGAGCGAAATTTTTAAGGTTAGAAAATGCTGTTACTGGATGTTATATAATGCTCATGTGTGAATGGACTATTGTTTCGTTTTATATGTATTGTATATGATTTGAAAAACTGGTTTTGTTGTTATTTGAACAAATTTTTTATTAAATTATTTATGTATCTACATATATACGATATACATATAAGATTACAAGCATACTTACGGATGTACATATCTAAAATAATGCTGCGTGGTTCGGCGGTGAACGGCTTCAATCCGGGCCATAATTATACCGAAGCTTGACGTAAACAAAGTGCCATAGACCTGATGATTGATGTGGTGTAATAAGACGCGTAAATCAGTTTGGTGTCATTCATTATTCGTTACTCACGCACCATTTAAAAACCACTTTTAGCGGATTGGATATCTCGGAAGTGAAATATATTGCTTACAAACAGTTACGCAATAAGTTCGAAGCAAAGAAAAAGAGTAAAAAATTGTTATATATAGCATCTTCTGAATCCAGTTCGTATACATTAGTAGATCAAGTAAAAAGTAGTCCACTATTCTTACATTAAATTAAAGGATTTAGTAAGGTTAGGAGTTCAAGAATTTATCCGCGGTAAGGCATGCCTATCACAAGAGGCGACTAAAATCCAATAGTTCCCGCGACAGTCGGGTCTTTATACCGGAACGACCCGGATGTTTATCCGGCCAAGGACTGTCACTCACGCAACATTCCCCCAAAAAGTACTTTTGGGAATATTTTTGCGGTTACAACAACAGCAACAACAGGTCCGGACTATAAGGTGAATGCATGAGAACCTCCCAAACAAGTTTCTGGCAAAGCTCTAACGATGTGTGTGGTCTGGTGTTGTGCTGCTGAAACATAATTGCTCTTCTGTTGACCAAAGCTGGGCGCATTTAGGCGACGGCTTTCTTTAGACGGACGAATTAGGTGTTTGGCTGTAGGAGAGCAACTCATAGTGGATGATTACTTTCCAGTCCCATAAAATTAAACCTTCCTGGAAATAAATTCTGGCTTGGCGACCGTTTGTGCCGGGTCACTGCTCTTCGACCACCAGCGTTTTTATTTGACGTTGTTGGAAGTGATGCACTTTTCAACACCAGCCACCTGCCACATGAGAAATGGGTCGATTTTACTACGATTCACCAGCGATGGATCGATCGTTTCCTGAGATTCTTTCACATTAGCTGAAGCGCATTCGGCGGGCTTTTTTCAAGTGGTTCCAAACTATTTTTTATGCTTTGTTTAGCTCATGGGCAATTGAATTAATAGACATTTTCGACAATTGGCCTTCCACTCATTGCAGAATAACTCCATTCACCTCATCCGGTGTACTACTCTGCTTTCATAGTCAGATCTACTGTGCCATCATCCGATACTGAGCACTCACCCATTGTTATCCTGTTTGCACCACTAGAAGCGTCGTTAACTTAGCTTGATTGATAAAGAACTATGCTACAATATAAATGTAATCGCTTTCTTCGTTGAAATCAACTTCCGATTCACTGTTCTCATTGTCTCATCTTGATGTTATGCACTTCTTACTTAGCAGTTCTGTAGCGCATGAGAGCCTTTTGTTAATGTTTAGTTTAAAATGAATAAGAATCGTAACCATATGCTCAGCAGTATAGTTGTTGGCAGTGCGTTCTACCATGCGAAGGGTCCAACATCCAAAATTAAAGAAAATTAAGCTGAATAAAAGAAATTCAAATTATAAAAAATCCATCAACCGTCCGGACAGTGCATAGAATAATAATCTTTATGTATGTATGCCTTTTTTACATTTTGATAAATACAACTAGGTGCATACTTTTAGGCATGAAAAAACATATGATGGCAGTAATTCAAAATTGCTTCGTGGGTTCTTAAAAATGAAAGTCTTGCAAAGAACTCAACGAAAAATCTGACCCACTATTACCCACCGTTATAGGGAAGCAAAATTAATTACAAAATATATCTGTCCAAAAAGGTCAGCATTCGGACAATCAGCCCTAAAAGAATGCTACAAACAAAGCAATACAGTTTGATAACCCAATTTACAGGGTGTACTGAATGCGAAATAATTAGAATGGGAAAATTTGTTCGAAGTTCTGAGCGCCTGTTCCTTTCCGGCACTGCTTAATTATTTCGTTTTGTATGCGTTTTTAAATTTAAAAAGCTCATAAAATATACAGGATTGTCCATTTTCATGTTTCGAAAAAAAATCGTAAATAAAAATGCATTTAAAATAATTTTTTTCATGGATTTGCATTTTTGTTATAAAGCTTTACCTTGGCATTACATTATATATGAAACATTCTATCATTAAAATGAAAGCTTCGAGAAGCTTTGAACCAACTTTCGAACACTATTTGGCATATAATGGGCGATATCTTGATTTTCAGGTTTTTAAAAATGAAAGGTTTATCTGCATAAGCACGGTCTTTAGCATAAAGTTACTTGAATTAATAGTTCGGCGCCATGGTATTGAAACGGATTGCAATCGTTAACGTTTATTTTAAAATGTCTGCTTGCTTTGACACCAAATTTCAATTTTACCGTTTAACATTATCTGTTAACGATTTAACATTAACTGTTAACGATTTAACATTACCTGTTAACGATTTAACATTAACGACAGCTTTTCGTTGCGGTTAAAAACGAAAAGAAATATATATTGATAACTGCTTTAACGTTAATCTTTCCAAATGTTTCAATCTTGATTCTAACTGCCTAGTACGAGTAAGTGGAATTAGCCGATAGGATAACATACATATGTATATGAATCTTACGATATTCACGTTTATATCCATGTTTGTAATAAAAACAATTGATTTCATTGTTTAACTTATTTTTATATTTTAATTTATTAATTTTTTTACATTTTACATACATATGTAGAATGAAAATAATATACATATTAGATAGTAGAAAATGTTAAAAATGTTTACAAAATGTTTTACCACTTAATTTAGGTTGCTTAATTTAATTTTATTCAAAAATAATAGTCATTTCAATTCTTTTTATATTTACTTATGAAAATATGAAAGCTGGCTTACAACTTTTAATATCAACTATATAAATATTATTAAAATAGATTTGTATTTATTTTATTAATATTTGTATTTATAATTAATTTTTTTTTGAATTTTTCTTATGATATTGCATTTTAAATATTTAATGTGTACTATTTAAATTTATTGCTTATATGATTTTTTATTTAAATTTACGAAATTTGAAAAAAAAAATTTGTTTTTAATTAATTTTTTTCGTTAATTTATTTCTTTAAAATTTGTATTGTTTATTTATTAAAACCTTTTATTTATGGTTAGTATCTATTAAAAATACACTATATTTTTTTTTTTGCATATGTGAAAATTATTTAAAATTATTTTCTTAAACATTACCTTATTTTTTATGTTAATTACCTAAAAGTGATATTGCTCACTAATGCTGGAACTCATGAAGTACAACTTTTATTGCTTGAATTGTACACGTACCATACCAATTTTGTGTTTTTTTTTACAAATATATATTTAAATAACCTTTGAATATATGTATGTAAATATGCAAATTATAATTTTGTACATATGTATATATTTTTCTGAATTTTCTTGCGTGGCAATTGGATATGACTGTAGAGATTTTTTCAATGGGATTTTTTATATAAAAAAATACGAGTGGGATACCTTAAGAGATTAATCAAACTACTGGTATAATGAATTATTTTACATGAAATTAAAAGTTTTTCAAATTTTAGGAAATATATGTTTATAAGCTTAAATTAAAATAAATAATTTTACAGTAACTAAATAAACAGATAGTGAAATGAAAAACAGGCAGGTGGTCGGGCATTAAGTCGTTGCTTTCTGATTAATTTTATTTTATAATTTAGCAATATAATAATTTTATTTTTATAAAAAAATCTAATCTTAGTAAACATTTTCTCAATTATTAGTAAAAAATATTTGGTTTCTGCGATAACGTAATTCAAATAGAAAAATATGTCTTATACCAGAAATTTATTATTAAAAAAATTTTTTTAAAACCCTTAAATAAAATTTTTCAAATAGATCTGTTGATGATTATGGCAGAAGAGTTTTTACTAAGAATTTTTATTTTAAATTTAAAGTGATCCTAAATTAGAATTCATAGAATTTTTTATTATTAAAAAAATGCATTCAATTTTATAGAGGACACTTTTTTATTTTTCTGGTCAGTATGCTGCATAAGGGAATTGAGAGTTGCACTCTTCAGTATCTGAAATGAAATAAGTGGAAATAATATTTGCTCAGGGGGAAAGCTTCCAAAGCAGCGAATGGTAAGTGTGCGCCTGACCAGTGCATATTGAAATCCCACACACAAAATCCAATAAAACATAATTCCGAAAGATACGACTGTATACGGAAATAACCTCATCCAGATATTACGCAATCTAGACAAACGATCCTAACAAAGTACAAAAAGAAAATAAATATTAATAGTTAAAAATATTTCGATTTTTCTATTACGCCCTTAAATGCGGCGAGGCAGTGTATAAGGTGGTGGCTGAAGGGTAACAGCTACTTATCTACTGAGTTCCAAATCATAAGAGCATTTGTGGGCAACCAATCACTTGACGAGGTTGCTCACCATCTGGCGACCGAACCAGTATATGCAATGCGATAGACACTAAAGACTGTGTGGAATAAAATTTCCCAGAAAACTGGAAAACAAGTTAGAGTGAGCGAGATGGAATGCTTAACGGGCATGTAAGACCGGCAGGATGATGTGTGTTGGTAGCGAAGGAAAAATACCTTCTGGAACAGTTGTAGACATAATGACAATGTGCATTATAATGCGTCGGGGGATAAGTAGCGTAGTTTCTGTCTCAGATATCTAGGAGCTATGCTGTTCAGAAAAGAGGAAGTTTCAAAACTGAATGTCTATAACCTCATGGACTTCGGTTCGACTTTTTTAACTCGAATTAAATTAATGCGCTACATTGACACTACGCAGGATCTACAGACCTACGGCATAGTAGCGAGCCACAGTTATCTAAGCTGGTCCATTATATTGCAGTTCCCATTATATTTCAGTCATGTTGCACTTTTAATAAATTCTAAAAACCAAACTTATTTTATTATAGATTAGATATTTACATATATTCTGTCTACATTTTTTAAGTATCGGTTAAAGAGCACTGCCGTTCATATAGAAGCCCATCTGAATAACCAACACATCGTCAGCTGAAAAATGGAGAGATAAATGGTTTCAAATGCAGTCGCTACTCCCCTTCAGATCCGGGCCAGATCTAATTGGCTGCTTCTGTTATTACAGTTAGTTCTAACTGAAAGACGCCCCAGTGCTCATAACGCCTGCTAATGGTTCCGTTTGGAAATTGTTAAATTTCCCCCATTCCACCTTGGGATTTTTCGAACTCTTCCGAGAACGGGATGAAGTTTGTTAACGTTACAAGACTAAGACTAAGGAGAATTACATAGGCTTTCGTAGAAGTCTACCATGTAATGAGGATTCTGAAAAGTAAATATGCTCTAGTGCTGGCCACCAGGCAGTGACTCTGTAAAGTAATTGGAGCAGAAATTTTGGGATTTTTTTCTCGCGTGGTTTCGTAAGGACCGAAGGACGGTTGTTGGCAAAGATAGGGGTTCGCCATTGTGTTCTAGAAATGATTTCCGGCGAGTGATTGCTTAGAAGGTAAGGTCTTTGTTATCTTCTCTTCTATATTGATATGCAGCCAGTTCTAATTGGCTGCTTTTGACTCGAATAACTTCCACACGAGGGGTCATATTTTCAAGCACTTTTTGGAAGGCATCAATCGTCCTAAGCTTATCTAAGCAAAAAAAAAATGAAGTGATTTTACATAACTCCTTAAAAAATAGCCTCACGATGTTAAATCGAACTATCATGGAGGCCATGACACAATCCCAAAACGCAAAACAAAGTTTTCTTCAAAGAATTTATTGTTTCGATGGTTGTATGGCTTATGGCGCCGTCTTGTTGCTCATCAACAACCTTCATTTCGGACAAGTCATTAATCAAGGCTCTATAGCGTTTCCCAATAGTCATAACATTTTGACTCGCTCCAATTTGGCAGAATTATGGTACAATGATTCCATCTGCCCATCGAGCATATTCAACAGTGAGCACAATTGCTGAACAAAACCATTATTTGGCAATAAATTTGCAAGATTTGCAAACCTTGTTCCGGAGTAAGTCCGAAAAAAGTATTGCCACAATGAAAATCACACGTTTAAAAAAGCATGCTTTACATGTAGGAAATGTAAGAAGTCAGGCATGGGCGGGACAGACAGACAGGAGTGGCTCCTTGGTTTTAATTTAGCCTAATCAAGAACACGACTCAAACGCATAGCAGCTGCGCAGTTTAGGGAACTAGAAGAATTCTATCTAATCACTACACATCTCAAGTTAGATTAAGTCTTCATCTGGTACTGCAAAGGACTAACAGTTGAACGCACAGGCTAACTCGAAGCAAGCAGTGACGCGTTCGAGCGATTAACCAGCTACTCGGACTGGTGAATACTGGGGTACATTGAGCTCTACTAGAAGCTAATTTAAATTTCTAAATTCTTCTCATTTTCGTTTCAAAAAAACAAAAACTGTGAGTAAATATATAAATATATAAGGTTCCTAAGATTTTTCAATTTCATCTGTTGTCTCTTTTAAACTAAGATTACCGCTAAACCAACTTATAACTCATTAATTACCTCGGAATTAGAAAAGTTGCGCTTTGATACCCGCCGCCGCGTAATTATATATTTTTTTTATCTGGAAGTTCAGTTTTCTTATTTTTATGTTAATTATATTAATTTCTTTGCCTCTATTTATTTCCCATTCTTTTCTTATTTGAGTTTTCTTGTACTTTTGCTTTTGCTAAATGCTGGCCATCGTATAGCCAGCGGGTTGAATTGACCATTATTGCTTCACCATTGAGCAGCGACAGTATGCCCTCTTCGCTGCCACGAACACTCCTCTAAAGCTCATGCCAAACAACGACGGCACATCACGAAATAATGCAGTTCTTGTCCTTGTCACTCATTTCCGCTGACGGCTTGCGTTTGCGATCATAGGCGAGCGCATCGTTGGGCACATAACTCACACGCACGCCGCCATAGTGACGTCGCTGTGGCAGTTGGTACATCATCATGTAGTCTTCGGAGGAGGATGACGACGACGAGCAGGTGGAACAAACACTGGAGGCATCATCGGATTCTTCGTCATGGCAATGTCGGTCAGAGCGATCAGCTGCGGGCGCACTACTTTGAAGTTGCAACATCGGCGGTGGTCCCTGATAGGAGGAGGAGAGCGGTTGAGCTGTGACGTAGGTGTCAGCGCGCGTGGTCGAGTGTGAGCGATAGCCGCTGCTACGATGACCTGATGATTTGCGACGACGTCGTCGGCGTGATGAGTGATGACTGCCGCTACTGCCGGCAGCGCGTTCGCTAGTATCTTTGCCTCTACCACCGTCGCCACCCCCGCCACCGCCAGTGCCTGCGCCATTTCCTGAGTAACTGCGTGAACGCGGTAGTGTTTCTGGTGGCAAACCTTCAAAGCGCACACCTTTCTTTTTCACTTCGCCACCTGCTGTGGCACCGCTCATCGGTGATGAGGATGATGCGCCGCTGAGTATGGACACGGGATGTATGGGCGCCTGGCCAGATTGCATGGATTGGGGCGAAGTGATTGAACGCTCACCACCCGAAGCTGTGGGCGAGCCCATTAGCTCTGGCGGTAGTGCGGTTGAGGCCACCGATAAATTGGGTGTGGGTAACTCTGCAATGTCCGAGGGTAGTGGTGATGTGATCGTACCGACATACTCATGCTCGAATTGCTGTGAGGTGGCGTGTGCACCTGCTTGTGTTGCCTGTGCGGCTTGGCGTCCTGTCAGTTCAGGCATGCTTGAAGTCATGGAACTCTCCATCTTGGAAACATGTTGCATGTGACGTGGTAGATTATACGTGTGCGAACCGCTGTGTGGTGGTTTTGTAGGCCAAGCGGCGTCTAAATTCAGTGACATCTCATTGAAATTGTATGCTGCTTCGGACTTTAGATTCTCCATGGGTTTCGGCATGAGGTGCGTATACTCGCCGGGTGAGAGAAGCGGTGAGAGATTTTGGGAGGACGTTGAAGGCGCGCCGCCTGAGAAGTCTGTAAAATCTCCCGCACTCCGACTTCCAAGCGCTTGCTCCATATCTTTGACCACTCCGCCATCCGAGTCTGAGGTGGGATAGCTTTGTTTTGCACCCTCCAATAGCGTCATGTCGGCTTTGCCGCTCATTGCAGCTGCACTCATACAAGGCAGGCCGCCCGCTTCACCTGCACGACCAGCGCCGTCACCACCACTACCATCTGGGCCAGTTAGACCCCCACTCGGTCCGCTGCAAATTATACCTGCCGCAATTTGCTGACTCTGGAGTTGATACATCGCCTGATTGAAGCTCTGCTGGTGTTGTTGTTGCTGCATGGGAGACATTGGCGGTGAACTGGATGCATGACTGCTGGGTATGCGTGTCTGCGGACGTACACGTTGTGTTGGCGGTGTCGGTGTGGTATACATGCCCGTTCCCGAACTATCCGACGGTGTCGGCGGTTCACCTTTGCTACACGCAATCGAACAATAAATGCAACCACGTCGCGGCAAGAAGGCGCGTCCCAAAAGCGAACAGCGACAAGTGTTGCAAGAGAAACATTCGTCCGTTGCGTGCCAGTGTTGGCCGTCATGGCTCATTTGACCTTGATCCACGCCAATCGACTCGCCACAATAGTCACAGTACTCGGCGAACATGGCGTCGAAGCAGAGCAGACAGTAGGGTTTCCCCTCGCGCATTATATACCGTTGGCCGCCCAGCTGCTTCTCGCACTCCTGACACGCGAAGTGGTTCATATGCCAGGCACGTCCTTCCGCTTCGGTGCATTCATCAGCGAGGATTATCTGTGTGGAGGGAACGAAAAGAGCACAAAAGAGTATAGCAAATGTTAAATGTATAAATTTAAAAGTTGAAAAGTGAGCATTAAGTAGACGTAAAGAAGACGTTAAGGCGAAAACCGAGTACAAAAGCTGACAAGAAGGAAGTGAAAGTGTTAGCGGGTAGGTGGACTTTGGTTATGTGTTGTTCGGTAGATCTTACTAAAAGTTTGATTAGAAATGCCAGCACATTCACATACGTATCTACATACATGTTTGTAAAAGGCTTATCTAGAGCCGTGTAGCTGGTGGAGTACAGTGTCTGGTTGGAAATTAGCGAAGGAGTTTGTTGGTGGCTCACACGATTTGGATAAGTTCGAAACCAAGCGAATTTTGCACATGAAATTTACTTTTTTGGTATTTAAATTTAATTTTTTTCAATTATGTTTGACACTTAATCATGGAAACAGCTACGCCTAAACAACGTTTACAAATTGGTCAAGTTTTATTCCGAAAATTCACGTTCTGTAATGAACGATGGCATCACCCATCTTGAGATCCAGCATTCACTGAATAGACTACGTCCAGCACGCAGTATAGAAAATACAGCGGCCGTAGCTGAGAGCATACATCGACCGTGGAGAGTCGATTCGGCGCCGTTGCCAGCAACTCGGACTGACGCATGGAACGATTTGGCGCATTTTACATCGAGATCTTAAATTGAAAGCTTGTGCAAAAACTGAAGCCGCTCAACCTCTGCAAACGACATCGCTTTGTTTCATAGGCTCTTGGAAAGCTCCAAAAAGGTCCGATGTTTTCGAGCCAGATTTTATTCAGCATGGGACCAATTTCATGCTCTATGGATATGACATGTAAACAAGCGTAACTGCCGCTTTTGGGATGAAGAGTATGCTGAAGAGATTTAAGAGCTGGCATTTTATACAGAAAAAACAAAAAAAAAAAAGGTTTGGTGTGGTTTGTGGAGCGGTGGATTCATGCCGGTGAGCAGATAAATTCACCTTCGTGTGATATTACACCGGTAGACGTTCATGTGAGGATATTTAAAGTCTAAAACCGATGCGGACAATTACGCTTCAATTCAGGCCTTGGAGCAAAATATCACGAGTGCTTTCGAAAATTTTACTCAACGGATGGACCATTTGAGACGTAGCCGCGGCCAGCAGTTGAAGAGATAATCCGCAAAAAATGTTCTTAAAAATATAGAGCACTTCGAAATGAACACCCTTAGGTCTAGTAAAAACTAATCCATTTATTTTTGTATTGAATTGAATGCAAACTAGAATGAATGGGGCTTCACAGGAAAAAGAAGAACTTAATACTCTTTTCAACAGTTGTAACGATGAAGATAGGGAAGACACAAGCTCCTCGGGAACACTTCTTCGACTGTCTCGCTGAGCTCGCTTCCTTAGAAATTGGTAATCTCGTTGTTCTTCTAAGCGTCAAGAATCGGAGATTTGATAAGTGGAAGATAGGACCTTCAAGGCAATATTACAATAGGCCTATTGACCTAGGAGTGCTGGTAATGAAGAGCAGCAGCAGCAAAAACCCAACTCAAACTCAAACAATGTCCCAATATTAACGCAAGCTTTGTTTGGATATTATGATTCAATGAAAAATCATAATCTGAAGACCAGAAGCTATGTTCTCTATTTAATGAAAATCTTTCGTTATGTTTGGTGCACCCTTAATTATTGCTAGTTGGCCCTAAAACGTTCAAACTTGATGTAAGTGTTTATGTGACATAAAGAGTTTTGGAAAAATTCCTTCAGGGATTAGAAGCAACGTTAAGAATTTCCAACACAGTAAACTTTATTGATTTCTTTGATTTTAGAGAGAGGAGTAGCCGGAAATGTAGGAATGTAGTCCTCCATAAAGTAAATATGCTATCAATATTACAATAGTATTTTTGTATTTATTTATTAGTAATAATACAGGGCTTTCCAATAAGAGGTGCTATTCTGATATTCAAAGAAAAATCGCGTTTTTTTAAGTTAAATATCGGATGTTTGCCTGAAAGTAAAAAGAAATATATACCATCAATGATGGAAAACAATATCAGCCAAATGGCCGCCACGGCTTATATGTGCGTATCCTTTTTATGAAATTCTTCATTATTCAACGGCAAAGTGGCTGCTGTATGCCCTCAATAGCTTCACGAACTCAATTTTTTTAGGTATTAAATTGGAGTCGATCTAATCTCTCACGCGGCTCTAAGGGAAAAAGTTGCAAAGTGCAAAATCACAAGATTTCGGTGGCTAATCGCAAACAGCTCTTTGAGAGGTACCACTGCCGAGAGATGCCACGGTTCATTAAAAGATCTAAAAAGTAAGATCAAACGACCCCACGGAACCATAAACCGCACTAAATAGTAGCACGTTGAGGATAGAGACACTTTTCAACAATAAAACGTGGGTTTTCCGCGCCTCAGATGCGATAGTTTTGCTTATTGACGTACCCATTGGTGTGGAATCAGTCAAGCTGATTTCTCGATTAAAATTTTATAGTGAATTTTAGTAATTTCAATACGTTTTTGAATCGTGTGTCGTTCCATTTTAGTTACTGGCATCGTTTTTACTTGTCAAAAGTCAAAAAATTACAGCTTCATTACAGATTTATTGCGGCCGCGGTAGCCGAGTAGTTAGCATTGCGTACTGTCATTCGGAAGGCTCGGGTGCAATTCCTGGTGTCGTCCTAACATCCTAAAGTTATAGAAAATTAGATTTAATAAAAAAAATTAAGCCAAATTTTCTAATTACCCTTGGCAGGGAATGTCAACCGCTCCGAGTATATTTTAGACATGAAATGAGGATAAAAACCCATCAGCAGTTCGGAGGCGGATTAGTATAAATTGAATGTCGCTCCATTTGTTGGGAAAACATCCAGATGCGAAACCCCAAATTAAAGGAGAAGCTCGGCCGAAAATCGCTTCAGCGTTTACAAAGTGCCAATAATATATTATATATTACCGAAATAACAGGTTTATTGGAAAACCCTTCATATCTATAATAACTTATGCAGACGGTTGTAGTGGAAAAAGGGAAGTTCTAATAGCAACTTTTAATTTTAATAGCTTTTTGATATCATCTTCTTTACTCTTTCATGCATATAATAATATTTGAGCGTATTTTCCAACCATTTCACATTGGTATTCTTTACTCACCTCATCACAGGCCGAGCAGCGCGGTTTCAGCGTCTCCGCATGATGACGTCCACAATAAAGGCGACCATCGCGATGAAAATAAATGAGATCGACTAGTAGCTCATGGCAGATGCTGCAAACGAAGCAACCCGGATGCCAAGAAGCATTCGGACCCAGACGCGTGGCGAAGACCGCAATGTCGCCGGTGGAAATCAATCCGTCACACTGAAATTGAATTGATAAAAGCAGGGAAAAGAAGTAAGAGGAATGTGAAAGAAATAAATTTTAAATTGAATATTTACTACATTTGACCTTACATACATACATATATACAGATATTATAATCAAATAAATATACAAACATAAATATTTTTATATTAAGAAGAAAAAGAAAATATTAGTTAAATAAATTCCTCTGAAGAAATGCTCAATTAATTTAATAGAATTTGAAACAAATAACTGCCGTAAAGTTTTCAATTACTTAAGCTTAAATTTAATTCCTCTTTCCTTACCAACTCATACTACTCAAATTAGTAGACAAAAAAGCATATGCATGTGTGGGTGTTTATGTAAAATCTTTCACAAACTTTATGTTGCATAAGAATTATTTGACTAAAATGCTTACATACATACGGTACATACATACTTGGACAGTGCAAATCGTATTAAAACATATTCACATTTATATATATAGCGTTATCCATTTCGTGGTTTCAAAAGTACGTGACTGTATACTGACAGCTCTCAGACTTAACCGTCAATTGAAACATGTTTTGTTTTAGTTAGGAGTCAGGCATTTATGAAAATTGCCCGCTCAAAACTTAAAATTGTTAAAAATTATTATAAAAATGGGGTTCTGGCTACGTTTCATGCTTTAAGAGGAGATTATGGTGCACGTATTCGTCCCACTATTCAAGCAATTGCTAATTTTTTAATGAAATTTGAAGAGACTGGTTCGGTTAGAGATTATGTTTGCATCAACGTTTTGCTCGCTTCATCTCAAATATCGCACACTTACAGTAGAAAGTGTAACGGTCGTGGTAGCCAAGTGATTAGCATTGTGTACTGACATCCGGAAGGCCAGGTTCAAATCCTGGTACGCTCAACATCCAAAAGTTATAGAAAATTAATTTAAAGAAAAAATCAGACTAAATTTTCTAGTTGCGCTGGCCCCTCGGCAGTGAATGTCAACCCATCCGAGTGTTTTCCTGACATGAAAAAGGCTCCTCATAAAAACCCATTAGCAGTTCGGAGGCGGCTTAGTTTAAAGTGTAGATCCCTTCATTTATCATCAAGACGCAAAACCACAATTTGGAGGAGGAGTTCGGTCGAAACAAAGCGTCAATTATATATAAGGGAAAATGTAACCGAAGACCTGATTATGTCTATTTCCCCCTACATGTGCAGAGTCTCCGCACGACACTAACCACCTCTTCACATGCCCCCTTAAACGAACTCATCTAACTCCCTTTGATCCAATCCCGTCGAAACAGCACGTTTTCTGGACCTCCCACTAGATGACCTTGGCCAATTAGATTAATGAAACCTGTACCTAAGCGGGGTTAGCGAACCGCTATAACAACAACAACAACAACAAAATGTGTATATTTCTCGTCATTCTCGAAAGTTGGAACATTCTTACCGCACATTATAGCATATTTCGTACTTGGACTTACACTTAAATCCACATCTATAAAATCCAGCTCATAAAACAGCCTTCTGAGCTTTCATAACACCGTACATATCTCTATGGGTTGCTATAACAAATAGCAGTGTACGGCGATTTTTCGAACGAAATTGTCTCCAGTGATGAGGCACATTTCTCACACGGAGTTTATTTAAATTTTGGAAACTTTCGCATTTGAGGCTCCGAGAATCCTCAGATAATGATTAAGGAAAGGTGCGCTTATCGGTCCGCAGTACCTTACATCTTTGAAAACTACAAAGTCTAGACTTTCACTGTCAATTCGGCGCGTTAAGGCCGTATGATAACCGAATTTTTTTTCGGTCTGCTGTTGATGAACACAACTTGGAAAATATGTGGGTTCAACAAGATGGTGCCACAGGCTACGCAAATTTACTGCGAGAGAAATATCTCGGCGGCGTAATATCTCGTTTCGGCGATGGCAATTGACCACCGAGGAAGTGCGACCGTTGGACTTTTTTTGTGGACCCCAATATCGTTTTTACGTGAATGAACTTTCAGCTCTTTAGCACTTGCAAACTAACATTCGTCAAGTTAAAGCTGAGATAGTTGAGCGGATCGAAGTTTGTTCAAATTCGAGAGGCGGTCATATGAAAGATGTATTATATCACAGATAATGCCAAGGTTCAAACTTTATAATAAAAATGAATTTTTATTCAAAAATGGGTGAAATGTATTTTATTTACGCCTATTTTCGAAATCGCCAATTGGAAAATCCTGTGCTTTCTACACGTAGTATTAAGTTAGTAAATGTTTACTCAATTGTTAGTGTCATTGAGTTAAGTCTCTCCGTTTCTTCTTCAATTCTTCGATTCTTCGATTCTTGTTTACTTAGTGTGGCTTTAACACGTTTTGTCGCCGGCTAAGTGACAGTGACATGGATTGGCGTTGCAATGTTGTCCTGTGTCAATGCCAATGTCAGTGACAGTCAAATTGACAATTGCTGTTGTTATTGTTATTGTTGCGATGCTGCATTTTATTTACTACGAGCAAACATTTGCATAGATACATACATATACTTATGCGTATGTAAATATGTCAGCAACTTAGTACCGAGTACGTTTGCCTTGTTGAATTTGGCTAATTGAATTTGCTGTGATGATGTTATGTTATGTTATGAGTGTTCTCTGGGTATTAAAATTCTATTTTTGCAGCGAAAATTTTGAAAAACTTTAATAGCAGAGAAGTTCAAGAAATGACTTAGAAACTTCCTCGAGAATTTATTCGCACTAGAGAGTGTTTACCGTTCTCCAAAGACCAGATGAAAATGCCCAACTAGTGAACAAAGTCTTGATCCTAATACCCGCGCATAAATGAAAAGAGCGCAAAGAGCGAACATGTGAGGACACTAGAAGTCAAAGAAGGTCTAAATATGACTGACCTAGATACAGGAGACTAAGTTCGACGTAGCATTGGTCCAAGAAACAGGGTTTGTAATATGTGACAGAATTTCTGAGATAATAAGCATGCCTTGGACTTTTCAGTATGGACACCGTAGGCAGGATGAGTGTTGTATTAACAGTTATAAAATCATAACACTCATAACTGTTGTATAATTCAATAGCGAGGACACGGCTGCAAAGGGGCGCTTTATGGGTCACAAAATCGAGCCAACATGCTCTTCGCCGCCTTTCTGCTTGACGCCGTTAGTGCCCACTGCGCTAAGCTAAAACGAGCAGTAAACCAACCTGGTTGCTTTAAGTTGGCATAATCAATTCTATGACGGGAATAATCCTAACAAGTCTTTGGTTTATTCCCAGATTGATTTACTACTTGCTTTAGTTTAGCGCAGGGGGTAACGTGCTATTCAAGAGAAATACATATTTCAAGAACTTATTAAATCTTAATGAGCCAACAACGGGAAAGACTCAATGGATATGCTACAAGATGCTCATTTTCTATCGTGAGCGAGGTCACGGAGCAGATGAAAAACATAGATTCAGACCTACTCGTCCGTAAATCACCATACAAAGATGAGATTTTTCAGACATCCTAGGGTAAGGTGGTGAGAGGGTTATCAAGTTCTTTGCAAACTATTTTTAGATTACATAATAGAAAGCTTTCTTACCAAAATAAGACCTGGTCTATATACCCTGAGCGCGTCTGGGGCTTCTTAAAAGAAGCATTAATGGGTGATTTGGATTCGATTCGAGAGTCAACCCGATTCTTCGGGACTGGATACACATCTTCTTAAGCTGCGAAAAAAGATGCAAAATGGATTGTTTGCTATAAAGTAGCCCGAAACCCATTATGACTGCAAGAAAAAGAGCCCTGACATCGGCGTACAAATTTAATGTTCGCAAACAGATGGTAAGGCTTCCTGGAAGAGAAAAGTTATATTTTGACCATCCAGTACTCTTATTGAATCGAATGACTTTGTTCGCCAGCTGTGGAATTTGGTGGAGGAGAACACTGAATTTACTACACCCCACGTCACCTTGTTGGCGTCGAAGTTATGAGTACTATTTTTTTGTTTGTTTCTGTAGTTTGATTTCACTCAGAGTCGTATGCGAAGTGACGATGGGCAGGACGTTTGGTTGTTTATTGTCGGCTTTTTAACTTTATCATGAGTTTCTGGTACGCCTACGCCCAGCTGTTGAAGAGGATACCCAGGAATTTCGCATTCGACTTTACGTCAGCCGGTGCTACGCATAGGAGTCGCAAGGATTTTATCCGCCAGAACATTTCTTACAGCTAGATGGTTGTTTTAATAAAATATTCACAAAATAGTTTTAAAAATTATAAAAAAATAATAAAAAGTTCTCCTTTGCAGTTTATTACGCTCTACTTATAACCTAAAGCGAATTACATATGAAGTGAAATCAATTATGCGTGATCCACTTTTATTGTCATTGACTAAGTAGTTTCAAGGGAACTCAACTTGACGCAACCAAATCACACTTCACTCAAAACCAAGAGAAAACATCCGACGCAACGAAGTGGATTTGAAGTCCACCAGTACGGGGAGAGTAGTGAATATGTACGAGGTGTGTTCAAAAAGTATCGCGAATTTTGAATTTTCGCGGGTTACGTATAATCGACTTTCGATTTTTTTGTGGCGTTATGTTGGTATTCATGTCTGTCACTTACAGCTGCTTTGCTTGCACGTGTTTTGGATGGTCTTCGATTTTTAACTTTTAAAGAAACTTTTGCTGACAGTTTTCTTCGATTGCAGGGGCGTGGTGCATCATCAGTTCTTGCCACAGGGTAGAACGGTCAATAAGGAATATTACCTGCAAGTTATGCGCAATTCGCTCGAAGCGATCCGCCAGAAACGCCCGGATTTGTGAAAGAACAAAAATTGGCTTTTGCACCACGATAACGCCCCTGCTCACGCATCGCTGTTTGTGCGCGACTTTTTGGCCAAAAACAATACACTAATGATGCCGCAGCCACTGTATTCACCAGATCTGGCCCCCTGTGACTTTTTCTTCTTCCCTAAACTGAAGAGGCCCATGAAAGGACGACGTTATGCTACGATTGACGAGATAAAGACGGCATCGAAGGAGGAGCTGAACAAGATAAGAAAAAATGATTTTCTGAAGTGCTTCGAAGATTAGAAAAACCGTTGGCACAAGTGTATAATATCTTATGGGGATTACTTTGAATGGAACAAAATATAATAAATATATAATTTTTGAAAAGATACAAAATTCGTGATATTTTTTGAACACACCTCGTATGTATAATACAAATATATGTATATATTGTATGTATATTATATTTTTTGTCTTTGACTGAAGTTGATGAAAAGTAACCAATACTTACACCATCACAGGGACGCGCACTCATCAACTGTCTGACATTGCCACGTCCGAGCGCGTCACGTTTGCGTTGTGTGGAGAATAGGCGAAGTTCTTTGCGTTCCTCATCCGTCAATGAGTGACAGTAACGAACCTGTGAAGAAACAAAATGGAAAAAATGAGAAAAAAATAATATATGTATTTTAAATTGCGATGATGGAGAGTGATGCTTAGCTAAGAAGCGTACAATATTTGTTAGTATGTGTGCTTGTGTGTGTGCATAAGTGGCGAGTTAAATAATTTTGTGGTCGGTAGTCAAGTATTTATTTGAAAATTTCGAATTCCTTACTACACGCTATATCTCCCATTCATATATACACATACTTGTGTGTGCGTGTGTGCATGTGTGAGTCTGTGGAAATTGAAAATTGTTTCTGAGAAACCGACGCAACCAACCAACGGTAGCAGTCACATCAAGCTGCCGTTGCTGGCGGTGATGGTCCATCAAGTGATGCTCAAAGGTTATAGAGTAGTGCAGTCTGCTGTGTGAGTGATGATGTATGTATGAGTATGTAATGCATGCACACGCTTTGATTATTACGCAAGTCTTTGCTACTCATTGCCCGCCTTGGCTCAGCGGCTATGTGGTGGCAAATCATGCTCATGTGGCATGTGTAGCATGCAACTTTGCTGACGTGCTCTTGAATAATGACAACCATTTTCGCGTAACTCCGGTGATGTGGCGGTGGAATGGTGGAGATGCCGCACATATGCCAGTAGTCAGTCAGGGGAGAGCTGGTTCGTCTAACCACTGACTGACTGACTGACTGTGGTTCGTGGTTCGTTCCGCCTTCTGCTTGTTTGTTGTATGCAAATTCCATGCCAACTTGTGTCTTGTTGCAAGTTTGAAGCAGTAGTAGGAGAGGTTGGTGGGGGATGAGGAAGCGCTCGATTGTGTTGGCATAATGAAAACGAACGGTTTTGTCAAACCATTGATGACCAAGTGTGGACAGATGCCATGCTCAGATGTAAGAAGGCACATACATACATACATACATACATACATGCATAAATACAAACAATTGCACATAGTTATGCACATGAATTGTTGTTGCAAGCTTGGATCGCCTTTGACTGCTCGATTTTTGTCAATTATAATATTTACTATGTGGGTGATGTTGCCTGCTGCTATTGTTTGTTGTTGTCGTGGTTTTTGGTTGCTACCCATTTGCAATTGCTATGCGTACACATCGTGTTGGACATACCCATCCATATATATGTATGTACAGATGTACATACAACAGTGCACGCATTTTGCGGCATTTTCGGTGCTATCAAAAGCATCGCTCGACTCCATAAACGCCGTAGGGTGTTCTGAGAAAAACTTTTTACCATCTTAATTTTTTTGAGTGTTTTTAATGCAGGATCCCTCAAAATTTGCGTATTACTTTCGAAATTATCATAATAATTTCAATGATTTAAAAAAATATTCATCTTCAGGGCTCTACCGCTGTTCAACGAATTGAAAAAAGATATCCTAAGAGTAAATGAAATTATAGTTTTGAAGAAAAACTGAAGTTTAATAGTAATTTCGGTCACTCCTCGGCAGAGAGTGTCTCCTCCTCCGGGTGTACTTCGGGCATGACATAAAGGCTCCTAGTAAACAACCATCACCCATTCGGAGGCGTACAATTGTTAGTTCCTCCATCAAGGCGCAAAACCACGAATTGGAGGTCTTCAAGAAACCACTGTATTTGAAGAAAATAGTGATGAAGATTCAGTGAGTACTTTTTCCCCAGTAACACATTCGACAACGGCAGGCATACCATCTAGAGTTACGTCGCAAGATACAATATCAACTTCTGCGGTGAAGCGTTGCCAGCAGTTTGCCAAGGAAAGTATGTGGCCGATATGGTAACTGCTGATGCTATTGCAACCCTGGTTGATTAAAAAAAAAAGCCTAAAGCATGAAATATAATCTTTTTTAAATTTTTTTTTTTTAATTGAGTTCTTGTACTATTTTCTTTCGTTTTTAAAATAAAAAAGTATTTTAATTTGAAGTTTGCATATTTGTTTTTTATTTGCAAGCGAGACCTTAAAAATTTTAAATTTTCAAAGTTGCAAAGACCCGTAGAGCCATTAAGTTGATACTAAAATATAGTTTTTTTTGCAGTTCTGTAATCTGTGTTTAATTACGCATATTTTTTATCTCTTCCAGTAGAGAAGGATAAAATAAAATTTTTCTCATACATTGACGGGTCACCCTAATACACAATCATTTTGCTATGTATTGTTGTTGGTTGCTATGAATGCATTTGCGAAAGCCCAACGCATAGCTGCACGTCTATTTTTTTAGCATTTCATCTCACGGTACCACGCATGTAGTAGGCGTATAAGCGTGTTTCATGTGATTTATGCTACAAATCAGTTGTTGGAACTCGATTAAGTTCCAGCACTAAAGGGTATTAGGACGTCGAATGTATATGTTTGTGTGCGGGTGTGTGTGTGTGGGTGATAGACAATAGAGTCATTTAGTGGAATTTACGGTACTCATTTCGAACAAAAGCAGTGGTCCTTTGTAGAGTTGTTAAATCTCTTTTGAAGGAATTGCTTCTTTGGTTCGAAACTAAAAGTGATTAGTTTTTGTAGATTTTTATGACTAATTAATCAGTCGATTGGAAAAAAAATACTTCAATAGCATTCATTTATATTTTATTTTAAATTTATTAATTTCAACTTACTTCATTTTCATTTATTTTTTATTTATTTTTTATTATTTTAATTAACCTTATTTTAATTTATTTCTATTTTGGCTGATTTTATATCACTTCTGATTATTTTTCCTCATTTTATTTACATTTTGTATTTTATTTCTTTTTTTGTTTGATTTTATTTATATTTATTTGATTTCATTAAGTTTTCTTTTCTTTTCTTATTATATTTGATTCTTATGCCTCCAGTGTTCTTGGCGCACGTACACTCCAAGGACCCGACTTCGACTTAGATTAACATCTGACAGTAGCATGGATATGCTGCCGTCTCTATATATTAAAGACCGCCCGTAAACAAACCCAAGACAGAATTCCACGTAAAAAAGCTGAAACTGACGAGCAGCTGTTTTCAATTACTTCTGAAATAAAAGCTTCCTACAGCTGCAAAAGAAGTTCTCGAAAGTTCTCGATTGGCTGTCTACCACGCAATCTTGCGATCTGCCACAACACCTGCGGTTGTGAGATGCTCGAAAATTCTACAGAAAGGTACGTTGGTTTACAGAAAGTTTCCAGACCGAGCAGACTCTTGTAGGACACAAAGAGATGAACTAGTTATTGATGCCAAGTGTATGCAGAATTTATGGAGAAAACAAGTCTCCATTCAGCTGAATGGCAGTGAAGATATAACGCTTGAAAATGTCGAACCCGAATTCCTCAATCGATGACGACAGAAAAAAAAAAATATTTCATTGTCCCATTATGAAGAATCTTGAAGAGCAATCGCCCGATTGAAAAACAATAAAGCTGCGGAGGCCGATGGATTATTGTCTGAAAAGGTGATTTCATTACCTTTTTTGCAATTTATCTTTAGACGGAAGCATATCCGATAATTCAAACCCAAGTGTGCTCTGCCCAATCCACAAAAATGGCGCTCCCGCAGTCTGTGCCAACTACTGCAGAATAAGCCTTCTTTACATCGCCCAACGTCCACAAATTGATTGGTCCTTATCAGCGTGGCTTCAGACCTGATAAGTCAACCATTGACCAGATATTCATCATGTGTCAAATCTTGGAAAAGACCCGTGAAAAGAGGATCGACACCCACTGCCTCTTTGTCGATTTTAAAACCGTCTTCGACAGCACAAATACGAGCTATGTTTATGCCGATACGTCTGAATTTGGTATCACCGCAAAACTCATACGGCTGTGTAAGCTGACCTAGAGCAACACTAAGAGCTCCGTCCGAATTGGGAAGGACCGCTCCCAGCCATTCGGTACCAAACGAGGTTTCAGACGGGTGACCCTTTATCGCGTGACTTCTTTAACTTTTTTCTGCAAAAAAAAAAAAAATAAGAAGAACAGCAGAGCGGAATCTTCTATAAGAGTGTACAGCTCCTGGTGTATGCCGATGATATTGACATTATCGGTCTCAGTAGCCGCCCCGAGAGTTTTGCTTTCTCCAGACTGGATAAAGAAGCGAAGGATATGGGTCTGATAGTGAACGAAGGCAAGACGAGATATCTCCTATCATCACACAAACAGTCATCGCATTCGCGACTCGGCTCACACGAACCAGCTTCAACACCAATAATAAGGTCAGCCTTGAAATCTTGAATAGGCAATTGAAAAGTAAAGTTCTCTCCCGACGAACGAAAACCAAACTCTACAAGTCCCTCACCGTTCCGGGCCTGCTATATGGTGCAGAAGCATGACGACGACTACATCTTATGAGTCGGCGTTACGAGTTTTCGAGAAATAGGTTTTGCGTAAGATTTATGGACCTTTGTGCGTTGGCAACCAGTTGTACGGCGAGATTGATATAGTAAAGCGAATCTAGAGGCATCGGCTACGTTGGCTTCAGCTTTGAAAGATGCAGTACCCGCAGGTGGAAGCAGAGGAAGAGGAAGATCACCACTCCGTTGGAAAGACCGGGTAGAGAAGGACCTAGCTGTACTTGGTATTTCTTATTGCAAAAAGAAGAAACGAATGGTGCATTGCTGTAAATCGGCTATGATCGCGTAAGCAGTGTCTACGCCAATAAAGTAAGGAGGCATTTAAATTCATTCATCTTACTTTAATTTATTTTATTTTTTACTTATTCTTTAAATTCATTTTATTTTAGTTCTATTATTTAATTTATCTCTTATGTTTTATATATAAGGAGATATGATGATCTCCGAAACAGCTGTAACTTCTACTAATTTTCTTTGTTGTATAACAAATACAAACATACAGACCATCAGACATTTATCTGTCTATTTTCTTTTATTTAAAATTTAATTTGCTTCATTTAATTTAATTTTGTTTTGTCAATATTTTTTATTTATTTTTGTTTATTTTGATTTAACTTAATTTAATTTTTTTTAGGGTTGTTCCTATTTTACAATCCTTTTTTATTCTAATTTATCTTATTTTGTTGCAGTTTATTTTTTCTTTCTCTCTATTTTAGTCTTTTCCAATAAAGTCATTTCCCTAGAATTCCACCACTTAATGATATTAATTCTGAAAATTTATGAGAACTCATTAAAATACCATTTCCCGCTGACAACCATATTAAATGTAATCTCATAGCAGTTTTGCATATGAACATAAGTCACGTGAACATACCCCTATGTACTTCTCTGTGAGTATGTAAATATGTAAAAGTGCATATATCATACAGTTAACTGGCAACGTCGCAACCAATCAACATATCGATCAGATATTTTCGTAAGAAAGAGTTTTCAGGATGAACTCACACTCACCAGCCAGTCTAGCAGCGCGTCCACGACACAGTGGGAAGTGCGTGAAAACTCGTTAGACATAAATGGCAATCGCCAAGCAGTTGTGTTCAACGTTACAACAAACACACTACTATCTCTACGTAGGTACGACTATGTGTGCATGTAATTGCTAGAAAAGAATCACATGAAATTGGCAAATATACCACATGCTGATCGATCCCGCCGGACCGTTGCTGTTGGAGCACCAGTTCAGTTGGACAGTAAGGAATTGGGGCAATTTTTAACGTTAACAACTTATTGCGCATTCGCAAATGTCTAATAACATTAAACCCAGTTTAGTGAGGTTAAGTAAAAGTCTACGTATAGTTGCGTTGAGCTAAATTCGGCTATTCGGATCGTTGGATAAAAGTTTCTTCGGCAATGGAAATTATGCAAAACTTGTCATTGATTGACTATTTATGGTAAGAGCGTGGTAAGTGCGTGGGTGCAGACAGTATGTCAGATTTTGGAAATAGTTAAAATAAGAGAGCACACGTTAATAGAAGAATACAATAGTTTTAATAAGAATAAATAGATTGGGGAATTTTTTTTGTAGCTTTACCAACGACATAAATTCGATTCTATAATCCTCATTGTTCAATTCTCGCTTTTTTAGTAGTTTCAAGCATGCTTTCTAAGTAATTTTATGTTGTTGTTGTTCAACATGTTTGCTTATAAAAACGGAAATATATGTATGTATTCATACGCTCACCTCATTATCGTGCGGCGGCAGTTGATGCAGTAGTTGGCGCACTCGATATTGTTCTCCTGGACTGTTCACGTATGGCACTTTGTCATCGGGTATTTGTGAGAAATACAAGCGTACCTGCAATGGAGAAACAAATAACTTAGAAAAGAGTCTAGTTTTACTTATGCATAGCATTTAAAGAAAGCTGCATCCTAAGTCATTAAAATTTACTATTTTTGATTTCGGTGAATTCGATCAGAAATTTTTTTTTTCCATCATAAGATAAAATTTAGCAAATTTTATGTTCAAAATTAATTTTAATAAGAAAATTATTATTAATATTATGTCATTCAATAATTGTATCTTAATTTTAGCGTCTTTCAAAACTTTGGTTCCAAATTGTATTTCCAAATATTATTTTCGTAAGCAAAGGCGAAACTTGAGCGCTGTTCCCACAGACACTCAATTAGTAAATTTAATGCATTTCAAATATATGTACTAAATAATTCTAGAACCTATGAAAGTGTTTGACTGTTGTTTATGTGGGAGTGATTAGAAAGTATTATTTTCATGTCGTTCAAGCAGCTTGCACTATCCAGCTTCAGATGAATTATCCGCTGGGTAATCATATGCAAGATCTGTTCCAAGGAAAATTTATATAATCAATAACCCACACAAACGTTGTAAGGGTAATATTTTAAGGTTATACCGTACTATTCTATTCTACGGACATAAAATGGAATGCAAGTTTTAATATTGGATTTGTGATGAGAGAGTTACTCCGTCCCCGCCATGTAAGTGAAAAGCCACGCTTGGCTGTAATGTTAATGAAAGTTGTGAGAGGGAGGGATTTCGGCCGTAAAACTTTCTGAACTAATAACTAACTAGTGTACAAAGCTGCCGGTAAGGAACTGGCTAAGTCATCTAGTTCGCGTAAATAAAATATCTGAAATTTTGTAAGTATTCGAAAAAGTACCTACCGTTGAAAGTAGATCTCAAGAAGAACAGGTGGAGAGCAATCAAGTTAAGCATACGAAGTACAGATAATAGCTGATCTAGCGGTACTGGTGTGGATTAAAAAGATCCGTAAGCTATGGAATATGGTAAAAACTATGCGCTAGGAAGAGTTAGTTTGATTTCACTGACTAATAAAAATTACATCAACCGTTAAACACTTTATGTAGTTAACTCAATTGATTCAGTCTGAACACGAAACTCAGTGGGTAATTTAATGAGTGAAATCGATAATGTGTTTTTCAGAAACAATTTTCCTGGTTTCGTGGTTTTTTGCACTAATATACGAATAGGAGACATGTGATTTTCGCAAAAGCTTTAAATTTGCCCTCCAACTTACTAATTATTTTACAATAATAAATTAACATCATGACAAGTTTTTTGGTAGATTGAAATATTCTTTATAATTTTAATAAGGTTATTTTGAAATTCGTATAAAAATTATATGTATGTAAATAAATATTTGGTGCTTTGTAACCGCTGATGCAGTTTTCGGCCGAGCCTCTAATCCATTTTGTGGTTTTGCGTCTTGATGTTTTTCCAACAAATGGAGAGACCTGCAGTTTATATTAAGCCGCTTTCGAACGACTGAAGGATTTTAATGGGGAGGCTTTATATTTCATGTCAGAAGTACATTCGAAGGGTTTGTCATTTCCCACCGAGGGGCGACAGCAATTATAAAAAAAAAAAAAATTTCTATAATTTTGGATGTTTGTCGAAACAGGGCTCGAACCAGGTTTTTTATTTCATCTTCGATAATTTTTCACATTTGGTAAATTGTTGGAGATTCGACGTTAACTTTTTGCCTGTACAAATAAATCCACTTCTATTAGAGATGAGTGTGTGTCAGTATTTTCTCTTCCGAAGGCAGCACCCCCTGCCGTTTGTCACGTTCGGCTCGGCAGGCGATGCACGATTGCCCAAAAATAATCGCCAATAAACCGATCAAATTGGAACTCTTGCCTTCGACAAGTTCAAGAACAGATGGGCAATAGAATTTAACAGCCTACGTGCATACCAATACATACATACATATATACATGCGATCAACTCTAAAATATCATAAATGAATGTCATGAAAAGTGACCGTAAATGCTTATCAAACGGTGAATGCAGTGCAATGAGCAAGTAGTGTTATACTCCAGTACCAGCAATCGCTGCTGCAATCGTATCGATCGGATGAAAGGCTTTAGGCAGTGCAGTGCCATCACAGCGGGTAAGCGCATGATTTGCTGCTTCTCTTGCCATATTTAGACAAACGCACATATACACATTCATATATACAATATACAGTACATGTATGTATGTATTGTATGTACTTAAGTGCAGTGCGAGTGTGAAAATCCTCGTATGTACATACACGTATGCATATCGAATCGCGCTAACCGTTGGTCGTTGACATTGCATGGCATAAATTTATATTTTATGCCATTTTAATAGCGCCACAGTTAAAATTGCAGAAATCGCTTTTTACTTCACTGCCAATTCCATTCATTTGTATTTATACATACTTATATTTATATGTATATGACAGCCAGCGCTTGGCGGCTCATGCATGACGGTTGATCGGATTGATATTGAAATCGATAAAATTAAAGCAGGATATTGGCTATGCGACAGACGTAGGAATATTTGAAGAAAAAAAAAAGAAAAAAGGAGAGAAGACACATTAGTGAAGAAGTCTTCTAATGCATAATGCAACCGAAAAAAACGTCCTTCGCAAAATAAAAAATATTCTAAAAGCCAAACCATCAGCACCGGCAGCATTACCATTCACATTCACATTCACATTCCCATCATCACCGCTAACACCATCACTGTCGCCATCACTATCACCATCAATGACCCCGCTGACAAAAGCGGAGTTCTTAACACTCAAAACCGAATGCGCATTTTAATGGCAGAAGACAATTGGAAATGAAGTGGGCTTTTCAATGGGAAAATAAAAGGTGCTATTTATGATGGTCATTCGCTGCTGCTGCACGTGTTCGTAAATTTTCAAAAGCATAAAAGTAGTTTTAAATAATCGTATATACATATGCATGGCGGTGTGTGTGTGTGCCGCTAAAGCAGTTCAATAGCGACGAAAGAGCGCCTGCAGATAAAAAATCTATAAACGAAAATTGCAGCTGTGCGTGCTAAGCGGGTCATTGTGAAAGGCGTGTTTGGTGGTCTTTACTTAACAACAACAAAAAATGAGAAAAAATTTATTTTGAATCACAAAATAAAAAAAAAAACATTTAATTTCTAATAAATGTCAACAGCTTTAAGTACTGTTTAAGATATTTAAAGATAAAAATACTAAGATCCTAGCAGTTCTTTTTAATGGCAGCAAACAGCTCAGGCAGTGGTATCATTAACTGACCCAAATCCATGGAGATTTTGATTTAGTTCGCCGATTGCAATTGACAGCAGTTTTTGGCATCAGGCAAAGTCAACCAACGTATAATAAGAGCTAAGAAATATCCCAGACCATGCCGAAATTCTTTAGACTAATTAGTATCCTCTCTAGTGTCAGGTCGGTCGTTCTCCACTTCATCCCTCCAACGTAGTGGAGGCCTTTCCCTTCCTCTGCTTCCACCGGCGGGTATTGCATTGCATACATTTAGTCGAAAAAGTGTTCCAGAGGAGCTTGTTTCGTGCAGATGACAAGGCTGGATAGTGGCAGAGGTAGTCTTCAATACACTCTTCCCCATCTTCATCGCTACAACTGTTGAAAAAAGTATTAGAGTTCTTCTTTTTCCCGTGAACCCCCATTAAACAGTGTCCAGTTATTATGCCCGTCGTTATGCGAATGGAGAACTGGTCTAGAAGGATACAATTTTCGTGTCCAGCTTCGGCCACAGCAGTTTGATCATGTGTTTGGCAAATTTGCATGATAAGCAAAATAATTCAGAGCACAGAAATTTCCAAGAATGGCCGGAATGAAAACGCAACTCCAACAAGCTCATATCTTAGAAGGTTTCCTGCCTGAATTACGTAGCGCTGATGATTATGGATAATTGCTTCATTCAACCTTGACATGTGGGATACTTATCATAGCAGATTGGGTGAAATTATTCTGAGCAGGAAACCTTCTATAATGGCAAGTATCAAAACGAAAGAAAAAAATTGTTTATATTATATTACTGCAGGGGTGTCATTGGTAAGAGATGCGTCCTCTGTTCTTAAAGACTTGCTCTTTCAGTGGCCTTCAAAATCATAACATTGTTTCATAAAGTTCAAGCTTACTCGCACCCAACAAAGCTGCTGGTATGTGCTTTGTAAGCCACACCAACCCTGGCGTTTAATACCATATATGAGGTGTGTATTGATCTAAATCAATATTGGCGCCTTCAAAATATTTTCCATTAGAAAATATGCACTGGTGCCAGTGCTGCTTCTACTCCCTGAAACACGCTGAAACTTTTACGATTACCGCCCGTTTAGAATCCCCCCATTTTTGGAAATAAGAAAATATCATGCGGCAAATCTGAACAATTTCGTTTTGGTCCACAGTTCACGAACAAGCAATGAAGTATGAGCAAGTGCATTATTGTGTTGCATATTTTAAATATTGCTAATTAATCTATTTATTTTAGATTCACGGAGTGTGGATGTTTGCTTGAATTGTAGTTCCGAGAATCCTCATATAATTGAAGACGTTCACTGTCTATTCGAAGTGCTGATAACTGACTTTTTTTGATCTGCAATTGAAGTACACGACTTGGACAATATGGGTTTCAAAGAGATAGTGAAACGTGTCACATAATACGAGCGAATATGTCTTTATTGCGAGAGAAATTTTACAGGCCGCGCAACCTCTCGTTTCGGCGTTGTTAGTTGGCTTCCGAGATCATGCAATTCGACATAGTTGGGCATTTTTTTTGTGGGGCTACGCGAAAACCGTGTTAATGCGGATAAATCTGTAACTTTTGAGCCCTTGAAAACCAACATATGTCAAATTTTGTCTAAATTAGCGCTCAATATGTGCCAAGAAGTGGTCGAAAACTACCCTAAAAGGATCAAAATTTATAAAACTTGAGAAGCGGTGTTTTAAACAACGCAGTGTTCGTACTTCTTAATAAAATAAGAGAGAGATGGTAGTCAGTAGTAAGGGTATCCTGATTCATGTGTGGAATTTA